AGCAGTCAAGAAATCAAAGGATGTATTGCATTGGGCAAGTCTGCTACAAAAAAAACCTCTTTCAAGTGATGAAGAGTGAAGATGTATCCTTGAAGACTAAGGTGCACCTAACCCAAGCAAGCCATGGTATTTTCAATTGCCTCTTACATATGTGAGAGCTGGACAATGAATAAAGAAGACCGAAGAAGAGTTGATGCTTTTGAGCTGTGGTGTTGGTGAAGAATACTGAGAGTACCATGGACTGCTAAAAGAACTAACACATCTTTGCTGGAAGAAGTGCAGCTGGAATGCTCCTTGGAAGCGAGAATGGCCAAACTTCGTCTGACCTACTTTGGTCATGTTGTCAGAAGGAACCACTCCCTGGAGAAGGATGTCATGCTTGGTAAAGTGAAGTCAAAGAAAAAGGGGAAGGCCCTCAACAAGATGGATTGACACAGTGGCTGCAACAATGGGCTCAGGTATAGTGGAGATCATGAGGGTGGCACAGAATGAGGCAGTGTTTTGTTCTATTGTCATAAGGTTGTTATGAGTCAGAGACGACTCAACAGCACCTAACAACAACAACAACATTATAACTGCTAAACCACTGAGAATCATGGCCCAGCTAACTTTACACACAACCTTAACTATCATAGTCCATCCTTTGTCATCTCGGCACCTATACACTTGTCCTTAAAACACACATAATCTCTAAATAGACAGTCGTAAAGTCATATTTGTGCCTCACATCATACAACTAACAGGGATACAACTGAAAATGCATTGGACCTGTTTACATCTTATATTTTAGAAGTGAAGAAAACAAAAATATTTGATGCACACATACAAGGAAGAAATACAATCAAAGTCCTTGTTTTTGCAACTGGTCATATGGTCGTAGTTAGTTTGTATTCACCTTCTTCCACCACCCTTTCCGTATTCTCTTTGCCCTCAGCAAGCACCTCAGCTAGTCATGGTTCTTTGCCTGGTGGGGTGACCCAAAATTTCATTCCTGAAGGGTTGGGCCTTTAGCAGTCATATCAGAATTGGGTTGCTGTAGTGTTCCATTTACTTTAATCTGGCCACCCTATCTGTGATCAAGTAGCTGACCAATAACAGTGTATCATCATCATTATAATAAGCACAGCCCTTCCTGCCTTGGAAGTCCTTGGGTAGCACAAGCAGTTTGTGACTGAAAGTTAGCCTTAAAGGTCGCCCACCCGGTGGCACCACGGAAGAAAGACCTGGTGATCTGCTTTGGTTAAGATTATAGCCAAGAAAACCCTATGTCACAGTTCTACTCTCTAACACGTGGGCTTTCCGTGAATCAGAATCAACTCCATGGCAACGGGATTAGTTTGTCTTGTTTTGTTTTTTGGTGTCTTGGAATCTCTGTTCCTCCTGTTACTGTTTGTGAGACTTTAGGTAATGTCCTTTAACCTCCTCGCTGCTCAGTTTTCTCATCTGTAGAATGGGGACAATACCAGCACCTTCTTCATAGAGTTGTCCAAGTATTAAACGGGACAACGTATGTAAAGCCGTTAGTACAGTCATCTGGTACAAAGTAGGGGCCCAATTAATGGTAGCTAGTCTACTCTTCTCGATCCATTTCGTGATCTTCTACTGACTCATAGGGCCCTCCCTGGAGAGTCACAATTGCTCCAGTCTCAAGTTTCGCCCAGCCTTCCTCCTCAGGGGCTGGCAATCAGCCTGGTTTGAGCCACACCTTTTCCATCCCCGACGTCCGAGAGCTCCGCGACGTCCCGACCCATGCTATCCCGGAAGCCGTCGGCAGGTGGCAGGACAGGCCTCGCGGCCCGCCGCTTGGCCAGCGCTCTCGGGGCCGCTTGGCCCGCAGCGTCCCAGGCCGCCGCCGAGCAGGCCGGGAGCTCCAAGGCCACACCCAGCCCGGCGGCCGAGAGCTCCCCAGTTGCATGAATCATCGCCGCAGCCGCCGCTCCGCAGCCCCGTTGCAGTGCGCCCGGGCCTGACCTTGCCTTTCCCAGCGAAACGAGCCAAACCGAGCCGTCCCTCCGACGCTCCCTTGCAGGCCAGCAGTGCAGACCGGTAGCATGGCGGGGATCGCAGCCAAGCTGGTGAAGGACCGGGAGGCGGCCGATGGGTTGGGATCGCACGAGAGGGCCGTCAAGTACCTCAACCAAGACTACGAGGCGCTGCGGGACGAATGCTTGGAAGCCGGCACGCTCTTCCAGGACCCTTCCTTCCCCGCCCTCCCCTCTTCGCTGGGCTTTAAAGAGTTGGGACCCTACTCCAGCAAAACTCGGGGCATCGAGTGGAAGAGACCCACGGTAGGAAGTGCGGACGATGCTGTGGGCTGGGCGGGGTGCGGGAAGGTGCAGCTTTTGTCCCGGAGGCGCCGCGTCCAGCAGCGGCCAGCGCGAAATCGCTGGCGGAGTGCAGGCAGACAGCGGTCAACCTGAGACTCCCTCCGCGCTGCGGAGCCCGTTAATCGGTGCAGAGAGCGTAGAAGAAGCCCCCTGGGGGTAGCCTAGGCTTCCAGGGATACGCACTCTACATCCTGCAGAGGTTCACAGGCCGGGTGAGGCGGCTCATTACCTTCAACCCCAACAATAGGCCCACCCAGAGAGCCACCTTCGGATTTAACAAAAACTCCGGTGACACTAGGGGCTCTGAGGAAAACTTATTGGGAGAGGTGAAGACGAGGGTTTGAGAGAAGCGAAGAGTGAGAGATTAATATCTAACAAGGAAAAGTCAGTCTCTAAGTTCTGTCCGCTTCAGGGAGGGAGTAGGCCAGAAGTTGGTTCGTTTATAACTACGTGTTGTCTCATGCAGTCACAGTGGTTAGATTTGTCAGACTTTCTTGTTTATTTTTCAAGTGGGAGCTAGTGAATCTTCCCTGTAATATTTACACTGATGATCAACAAAGGATATGAGGGGGGGATGTTGCAAGGAGCAAGTTTGTCATCATTTTTCTATTGCCCCAGAATCCTCACCTGGGGAACCTCCAAGCTCCCTTATCCTGCCCACAGAGGCTCAGTCTTCAGTTCCCTGGCTGACTTTGGGACAAGTTCTACTGCTAGCTCCTTCCCTTCTCTATGGGACACCTCAGGGAGCTCCCCTTCCACACAGAATGAGGTTTCGTGATAAGCCCAACTTTTAAATTTCTATTAGGAACAGGAGCATTCCTGCCCTGCCTCCACTTCTCTGAGCCTCCCAGGTCAAGCCAACAGCAGTAAGGTAGGGACTGCCCTAGGCCAGGACTAGTGCAAGGGGGTGCTCATTCTTGCTAATCTGTTAAGTGACTCTCAGTGAGTCATTTAACCTCTCTATGCCACCAGTTCTTCATCTAAAACAGGGAGTGGTGCCAAAACACTTTCCTCTTCTCTTGCTCATCAGGTCCAATCACTGTGGCCTTCTTGCAGTTTCTCTAGCATGTCCAGTTCTTTAAGCCTCAGGTTCTCTCACCTGCCTGGCTGCTCTTCCCTGATTGTCAGGAGTTGACTCACTCTCATTTTTTGGAACTTAGTTAAATATCCCTTCCCCAAGAGGTCTTTCCTGACCATTGTTTGCAGCCCTTTCCCATCTTGTTATCTGTATTGCTGTACCCTGCTAATTTCCTTCATAGCATTTTCACAATTTATAAGTATAATTACATACAAATATGTAATTATGTATAAATATTTCTCCTTCCTACTGAACAGCAAGGACCATGTACATATTATTTACCAGTATATCCCCAGTACCAACCATAGTTATGGCCACTTTATAGTATTCATTCATTCATTTATTCAATAATATTTCTTGAGTGCCTGCTATGTGCATTATATGCAACTAACTGGAAGAGATCCATATTTGTGCCCATTCCAAAGAAAGGTGATCCAATAAAATGCAGAAGTTGCTGAACAATATCATTAATATCACATGCAAGTAAAATCTTGCTGAAGATAATTCAAAAATGGTTGCCATAATACATTGACAGGGAACTGCCAGAAACTCAAGCTGGATTCAGAAGAGGGTGTGGAATGAGGAATATCATTGCTGAAGTCAGACATATCTAGGCTGAAAGCAGAAAATAGCAGAAAGATGTTTACCTGTGTTTTACTAATTATGCAGAGGCATTGAACTGTGTGGATCATAAATTACGGACAAAATTGCAAAGAATGGGAATTCCAGAACACTTAATTGTGTTCATGTGGAACCTGTACATAGAACAAGAGGCAGCCATTCAAACCAAATAAGGGGATATTGCTTGGTTTAAAATCAGGAAAGGTATATGTCAGGATTGTATCCTTTCACCATACTTATTCAATCTGTATGATGAACACATAATCTGAGAAGCTGTATGAAGAACATCAGGACTGGCGGAAGACTCATTAACAGCTTGTGATATGCAGATGACACAACCTTAGCTGCAGAAAGTAAAGAGAACTTGAAGCACTTACTGATGAGGACCAAAGACTACAGCCTTTAGTATGGATTACACCTCAACATAATGAAAGAAAAATCCTCAAACTGGACCAGTAAGCAACATCACAATAAAGAGAGAAAAGAATGAAGTTGTCAAGGACTTCATTTTACTAGGATCCAGAATCAACAGCCATAGAAGGAGCAGTCAAGAAATCAAAGGATGTATTGCATTGGGCAAATTTGCTGCAAAAGATTTCTTTAAATTGTTCAGAAGCAAAGATGTCACTTTGAGAACTAAGGTATGTCTGACCCAAGCCATGATATATTCAGTCGCTACATACATGTGAGAGATGGACAATGAATAAGGAAGACCAGCAAAAAATTTATGCCTTTGATTTATGGTGTTGGCAAAAAATATAAAAAATACCATGGATTGCCAGAAAAATGAGCCAATCTGTCTTGGAAGAAATACAGTCAGATGGTTCCTTAGAAGCAAGGATAGCAAGATTTTGTCTCACATACTTTGGACATCTTATCAGGAGAGATCAGCCTCTGGAGAAGGCCATCATACTTGGTAAGGAAGAGAGTCAGTGAAAAAGAGGAATCCTTTACAAAATGGATTGACACAGTGCCTGCAACAGTAGGCTTAAACATAGCAACGATTGTGAGGGTGGTGCAAGACAAGGCAGTGTTTGGTTCTCTTGTCCATAGGGTCAGTATTAGTCCAAACCCACTCAACAGCACCTAACAACAAGAACAACTACTAAATGCCAAACACTGTCCTGAATGCTCAGGCTACATCAGTAGACAAAACTGACAACTATTTGTGCAGTGAGTGAATGAATGGATGAACATAGGATTGGTATGAGCCCCAAATGAAGTTATGCTGTGAAAGTGATACACAAGCAAGAGAATGTTTTCACCTTACATTTGTAAGTACTTACTTTTCAGCTTACAAAGTGAATTAATGCACTCATTCACTATTCTTTCCTTCATTCAGTGAGCATTTATTGAACACATACTAGATACTGGGCACAATATACGTAATTTTTGCTTCTGAAGACTGAAGCCTAGTGATGAGAGACAGAAAGGTAACCCAATAAGTGGAGTTGCCAGTGGGATTTCCAGATGGATAAATTGAGAATAGAGATTCAGAGACATTTCAGGGTCTCTGCTTGGTGTGGGGCATTCAGCAGTTGAAGAAATTGAGGCTTGGAAAGGTTAAATACCTACTCAGAGTTAAAGAGGTGTGGGTGGTGGAGCTGAAACTGTTACTAGCTCACGTGTGTTTAGAACCCTTTCTCAAGCATTAGGTTTGGATAGTGACAAGTCATTGATGACTTGAGCAGAGCAATTTCAGTACAAAAGTGGTGGTAAGAAGCCAGATTGCAGTAGACTAAGGAATCAATCTAGTCCAAAGAACTAGGTAATGAAGAATGTGATCAGCTAATTAAAGAAGTGTGCCTGTCGAAAGAGAGACAGAAAATGGTTAAGTAGAGTAGGACCTGGGGCTTGATGAGAACAGTATGAGTGTATTCTATGCTGAGCCCCCAGAAAGGAAGGGGTTAAAGATAAAGGCAGAGAGGAGATGGTCAGGAAGCAGAGTCTGAGGAGTGAGCATATGGGGTCCTGAAAGGGAAGGGGAGCATGTTAGCCATGCTGGCTAGAGGAGGGACTGCTCTTCCTCAGAGAGGGAATGGTATCTCATGGGCATGGGGTTTCACAACACTGGTGAGAGTAGCTGTAGGGAGATGAAGCAGAAAATGGCTGAAGTCATGGTGAGGCCAAGGACTAGTGCAGGGGGCACAGTGAGGAGAAAGCTGATCCAAGGATGGCACACCTCACTGAGCACCCAGGCAGGTACGAGCAAGGGCTTCTTGGTGTTAGTTGCCACCTAGTCGGCACCAACTCTCGATGGTCTCATGTACAACAGAATGAAAACCTTACCCAGTCCTTTGCCATCTTCATGGTCATTGGTAAGCTCAAGTCCATTGTTACAGCCACTGTGTTTTGAGTGCCTTCCAACTTGGGGAGACTCATCTTCCACCACTATATTGAACAATATCCTATTGTGATCTATAGGGGTTTCACTGGCTAATTTTCAGAAGTAGATCAGGCCTTTCTTCCTAGTATGTCCTAGCCTGGAAGGTCTGCTGAAACTTGATCACCATCAGTGACCCTGCTGATAGTTGAAATACCAGCAGCATAGCTTTTGTTTCATAGCAAAATGCAAAGCCTGAACAGCAGGATAAACTGACAGACAGGTGGGGGAGGAGCAAGGACAGGTATTGTTATTCCTCATTTTCCCCCTGAAAGAACCAAGCCTCTGAGAGGTTTATGACATAAGTATATTCAGCTGACTGAACTCTGCCTCAAAACTGCACTTCCAAGTTCAGTAGTTATTATTCAGTAATTATTATAGTACTAATAATAACAGGTAACATTTTTGGAGTGCTTACCAATGCATTTTACATAGTTATCTATTTTAACCTCAAAACAACTTTGTGTGGTAGGTACACTTCATCATTGTCACAATTATACAGGTGAAGAAACTGAGGCTTAACGAGGTTACATAACATCACTAGACTTAATAAAGCCTATATAACAAGTGGCAGAGGCAGCATTTAAACCCAGGCTTTCTGAATCCCAAACCCTCAGCCCCTTTCCTCTGACTGTCCTATATTTAATACATTGCCCTACATGCAATGCACAACATTCTGCTTGCTGTAGCACCTCTGCATGCCACTCTGAACTTTGACTATCTGGAGAGGCTGCCAAAGGCATGAGAACATTTCTGAAACAATAGAAAAATCCTTCTGGGGTGAGTGCCTGACACACTGAAAATTTACCAATATGATCATACTAAAGAGGCTGTGAGCACCAAGGCCCATCTATTCTACCAGCTGGATAAGTGCTTGACTGGCAGGGCTTGCTTGGCAAAGGGGACTTCATTTGTAAAAAAACATTCTCATTGTCTCACCATCCCCAAAACCCACTGACCTAAGCAGGGAGACAGACAATGCAGAGGTAGGGTAGGAATGTCTGCTGCAGACCAGGGTTCAGGAAGGCCTTCTGTAGCATAAGCCAGAGCAGACACGGGCACTAGGACTCTCCTGCTGGACAGAAAGGGGCTTGCAGAGGGACATGGGGTGGTGGCACCCATCTGCAGCGCTCAGAGCAAATGTGAGATGTAAGAGCAACTCATACAAACCAAGGCAAGAGAAGCCCAGATTTAAGCCTGACTTCCTCTGTGGCTGTGGGGTGGGGCGCTTAAGAATCAGGAAACGCTTAGTAAAGGCCGCAAAGAGGGCCCAGGCTAGCACTGTTCAGGCTGGCTTCCATGGGGCTTCTTGTGGGACCATCACCCCTGAGGTTTTAACACATTTGGAGACTTGTTAGGAATCAATTAGAGGCAGCCCAGGAGTTGGAAAGAGTGTGTGCTTTAGTGTCAAGACCAGTAAGTTCACACTTATGAGCTGTGTAACTGTGAACACATTGCTTTTCCTCCCTGAGCTCATTTCCTCATCTGTGAAATGGGAATAATGCCCATTTTGTGTTCCTGAGAGGAACATGACATAAAGTACCAAGCACACTGTATGCTATGCCAACTCACTGCCATCGAGTCAATTTCCAACTCATAGGAATGCTCATTGAGTTTCTAAGGCAGTAAATCTTTGTTTTTTAATTTTTATTGTGATTTGGGTGAAAGTTTACAGAGCAAATTCATTTTCCATACAGCAGTTCATACACATTTTGTCTCATGACATTGACTGCAATTCCCCACAATGTAATAGCTGTCTTCTCACTTCTTCCGCATAGTTACCTCTTCCATGTGTCTTTCCATCCTATGCACTCCTGCCCCCGAGCTGTCTCCCTGTGCAAACACTGTCTTTCTGTTTTTCCACAATTGATCGCTCCAGGTAGTGTATCTATCTGATGAAAATGTTCAGCCCATGTGCTTGTCTATTATTTGGCTAGAAGGTAGGGGCCGTAGTCTCAGGGTCTTACCAGGCTCTATCAGACCAGCAAATCTGGTCTTTTTTTTTATGATTTTGACTTTTGTTCCACATTGTTCTCCTACTCTATCCAGGATCTCATGCACCAATCCCCCTTTGAGTGGTTGACAGTGGTAACTGGGTACCATGTAGTTCTTCTGGTCTCATGGTCTGCCAGTCCCGTGGACTAGTTGTTTCCATTCATTTTTGGTTTTCCTCATTCTTCCTTGCTCAGATTGAGGACAGACTCATCATTGCATCTAGATGGCTGCTTGCAAGCTTTTAAGATCCCAGTTGCTACTCACCAAAGCAGGATGTAAAACAATGTTTTTGTGTACCGAGGTGGTAAGTCTTTACGGAAGTAGATTGCCCTATCTTTCTTCCACAGAGTGGCTGGTGGGTTTGAACTGCCAACCTTCTGGTTATCAGTCAAATGTCTTAAGCACTGGGCCACCAGAGCTCCTGTATGGTTTGTAGGAGTTACACAATATGTGGATGCTCTGGGTATCATTAGGCCCTATGGAAGAATTCAGGGAGCATTGGTGGTTCAGGTAGAATTCACTCCTTTCACGCAGGAGACCCAGCCCAATTCTCAGCCAATGCAACTCATGTACAGCCACTGCCTGTCTGTCAGTGTAGGCTGTGTTTTGCTATGATGATGAACAGGTTTAAGTGGAGGTTCCAGAAAAAGTTAGAGTAGGAAGAAAGGCCTGGCAATTTATTTCCAAAAAGTGAGCTCTTGTAAACCCTATAGATCATAAAAGTCCAGTCCATAACTGATCATGGGGATGGTGCAGGACCAGGCAGCATTTTGTTCCATTGTGTATGGTGTCAGAGACTGACTCAATGGCAACAACAACATCCCTCTGCCCTCAACAAGTGTATACAAGTTAGAAAGACAAGACCCATGAACATCCTGTGACAGTCCACAATTAAGGACTAAACTGCAGAGTTACAACTACTCTGGGAATCTGAGTCAAGGGTGTGAGTTAGGACTGGACTATGAAGGAGGTGGGAGTGAGCTTTGAGATACAGCAAGATGTGGAAGAAGACCCCTAGTGATGCAGTGGTTAAGCACTTAGCTGCTAACTGAAAGGTTGGTGGTTTGAACACACTAGCTGCTCCATGGGAGAAAGATGGAGCAGTGCTTCCATAAAGATTACAGCCTAGGAAACTCTATGGAGCTGTTCTACTCTGTCCTATAGGGTCGCTATGAGTCAGAATTAACTCTGTGATAACAAGTAAGATGTGGAAGGTGGGGAGCAGAATGGGAAGAAGAAGAATTACATACTAGCAAAACCACTTGTGTGCAGGAACAGAAGAGAGGGTGTAAGTGCGGCAAGTGGGGTGGGTCCACATCATGGGGGTCTGGACAGAAGGAGGCTATAGACAGCTTGCAGTGTCTGTGGTCTAAGTACTGCCCTTCTCAGTCTGGAGCATCCCCACCTGCCATCAGGGCCCATGGGTGGGGGGTCAGGGCAGGACACCAAGGACACCACAGCGTAGAACTCTGACAGAGGATAGGGAAAGGGTGTGGTGCACTCCTTGGAAACCAAGGCATCCTGACTGCAAAAGAGCATCTGTGAGCTGACAGCACTTTGTGGGTCTTGTCCCCAGGAGATCTGCGCTGATCCCCAGTTCATTGTTGGAGGAGCTACCCGCACAGATATCTGCCAAGGCGCCTTGGGTAAGTAAGTGATGGGATCAGAGCAAGTTGTGGGGTCTTGTCTCCAAGGTGGTGGGAAGAAGGGTGAGGGACAAGCAGTGTCTTTGCCTCCTTCACAAGAAACTTGGCAAGTTCCATTTCCTGAAGCCCTCTGAGCTCCTTGGAATTTCCTGTCCACTGAGGCAGCAGTTCCACGCCAAGCCCCAAGCTGAGGCACTCAGATTGAGGACTTCTGTGTCCCCTGGGTAGTGTAAAGGGGTAAATGAACTCAGCTGCTCGCCAAAAGATTGGAGGTTTGAGTCCACTCAGGGGTGCTTCAGAAGAAAGGCCTGGTGATCTTCTGAAAAACCAGCCATTGGAAACCCTGTGGAGCACAGTTCTACGCTGACACACATGGGGTTGCCATAAATCATTTGACCCAATGGCAAGTGATAACTGGTATGCCATTGACACTGGGCTTGCTGCTGAAGTGACAAAGGTGCAACCATGGGAAGGACCAAGGGGCTTCTGGATTTTAGCTACCCTTGGTCTCTGTACTCCCTGGGGCCAATACTAAGTGGCTCATGAAACATAGTCTGGGCTGAGGGCCAAGTGGGGGACTCCTTTGGCACTAAGACATCATCTTCTGAGCTCCAGGGACAGGGGACAGTGACTCACTGTGAATGAAGAGGAAACCTAAATGCTTGCTGCTGAGAGGAAGTCAGAGTACCAAAGAGTTCTCAGTGTTTGCAAAGCAAAGTCACCATGGTATCACAACAGGGGAAGCTGGGTTATTGTTGTAAAGGCCGTTGTAATGCTCATTTACTTAAAATCAACTGGAGTACCTAAATCGTGAGTGTCTGAAACTTTGCCCTCTGAAGCTGCATTCTGATTTGTTTCTAGATATAGTGCTTCTTAGGAGCTCTGGTGGCCCAGTGGTTAAAGCATTTGGTTGCTAACCAAAAGAAAGGCAGTTTGAACCCACTAGCTGCTTCACAGAAAGATGAAGCAGTCTGCTTCCATAAAGATTTACAGCTTTGAAAACCCTATAGGGCAGTTCTACTCTGTAGGGTCGCTGTGAGTTGAAATTGACTCAGTGGCAGTGAGTTTACAGTGCTCATTGAGTATCTGAACCCAAACTCCTCCAACTTTAGTGTGAATGCTCCCAAGGTTACTGTGAAGTCCCGACAGTGGGCCTATGACCATTATTTAGAAATCTACTTGCTTTTTTAGTGATAATAAATATAAGCCTATAATTGCATGAGCAGGTAATTTGCTGTAATAAACCAAAAACTTGTTTCCTGCTGTCAACTTCAACTGGCTCCCCAAACAAGTAACAAAATTGATAAACTTGAACTGTACCTCCTCTCCTTGCCCACTTAGCAGAGGTTACTCATAATAATAGTAACTAGTATTTGTTGAGTGTTTACTATGTGCTAGACACTAAGCTATCCTTGCAAAAACCAAAGTACTATGGTTATTCCCATTTTATAGATAAGGTTGTTGAGGTCTGAGAGAGTAACTAGCTTAAGATGCCCAAACTGAAGTGAGGCCTGGTATACAAATGTAGTCATTTGGATCCCAGGGCCTGTACACTTAGGCCCAAGCTAGACTCCCTAGAGGGGCCTAGGGAAAATTTCAACTCTTGAGGGTTGTCGAGTTGGCTGTGAGTCATTAGGATAGGCACCCTGGGAACCCACAGGAAAGGCTTCTGAGGCAGAGTGACCCAGCACTGGGTGGCAAAACCCAGCTGGTCTGAGCTCAGGCTCCATGCAGATTCCTGAGATGCCGGAGCACGTTCTTACCCGTGGAGAACATGCCTCCCCATTCCTACCTTCCTGTCTCTTATACCCCCTGCTGTCCCCCAAAGAAAGATAGCAGGAAGTCTCTGGGCACCTAAGGCAGATGCTCTGGGAAAATCCATTGGTTAGAGAAAACACAAGTTGATGGGGCTGAAAGTTGATGGAGACCTCGACCAAACCTGGGGGCTTTAGAGAATCCAAACAGCAGCAGCTACCATGTCTATACTAGATAGCATACCTGGACTAAACATCACACTTGGACTGATCACCACATGTGGACTGAATGCCAGAAATACCACACCTGAACTGCATGTCACACCAGTACTAAGCATCTACTTCAAAGTTGAACAACGTCTTAAGAGGCAAATTCCAAGTAACAAAAATGCAATTTAAGTCCTGTTTAAATATTTCCACACCATTTAGAGAGACTGGCAGAGCTTACATTCCTGGGGGAATAGCGCCCTCTGTATGCACCAAAATAAAAGCGAGATCTTCTTTAGGCCTTTTAATGTTTTCTCAGTAACTGGTGTATTATTTCTAAGGGTTTTCACACCATGCTCGCCATTTTGTTCTCTTGGCTTTTTCTTTTGGAGGATTCTGGTTACAGTCTTTGACATGGTTTGCTGAACTCTCACCCTGATTCCGGCATCTGGGCACGGGGTGGTCATGTGGTGGTGATATTACCAAGTCCCAACATATTCTGGTTACCTAGTACCACTCTGACAAGAATATACCACAAATAGGATGGCTTTAACAAACAGGAGTTTATTCTTACAATTTGGAGGCTTTACGTCCAAGTTCAAAGTGCCAGGCTCTAGGGGCTGGGTGACCTTGGGTTGCAGTTCTGCCTCCTGCACCTGGCCCACCAAAGCTGGAGGCTTTTCTTCACTCAGCTGCTGGCTGCTGAGGCTGACAGATCCAAGGTTGACAAGTAAAAAGGCACAGTCCCGATGTTACCAAACCACACGGCAGGCCATTTATTCAAGTCTCTTGAAAGTCCCAGGGTCAGCAAAGGATGGCAGGCTGCTGAACAATGATGGCTACATGCAGGGTCCAAGCGTGCCATAGGCTAGAGACCATTCCCAAAGCTGTTTCTTATGTGTGGGAAGCAGACCACATCCTTAAGGCAGCTAGTCAGCTGCTCACAGTAGATTTCACCATGGAGTTGATTACCAGTCTCATCATGGGCAATACTACATCCAGCTGCCCGGCCACTCAACCAGGCCCAGCCAAGTTGACACACAAACTTCACTACACAAGACATATACAGAAGCATCAGAGCAAGGGCTTTGACAGAAACAGCCAGCCATGTGGCCAGAAGTAAAAGAGCCTGGGCAGGTCATCTCACTTCTGGGACCTCAGTCTCTCCTAAAAATGTGGGGAGGGAGAGTGAATGAGGAAACCACAGGATCCTCCAGGATGTGGTATTAAGCCATTCTAAAGCCTTTCCTTATGCCTGGAACTGAGTGGAGACCTTGTGTTAGAGGGGTCGAGTGCCACAAAGAGGCCATCTTTATTTCCCAGATGGGATGGGAATAGCACCTGACACTTGCATAATGTTATAATTTGCAGAGCAGTTTTTGTTGTATTATCTCATGTAATCACCACAATTCTGAAGTATTATTTTAACTCCCACCACCTTTGTTATTGTTGTTAGGTGTCATTGAGTTGTCTCTGACTCATAGCAACCTCATGTACAGAAGAATGAAACACTGCCCAGTCCTGTGCCAGCCCCATGATCTTTGCTATACCTGAGCCCATCGATGCAGACATTGTGTCAATCCATCTCATTGAGGGCCTTCCCCTTTTTCATTGTCCCTTCACTTTGCCAAGCATGATATCCTTCTCCAGGGAACGGTCCCTTCTTACAACATGACCAAAGTAGGTGAGATGAAGTCTAGCCATTCTTACTCCTGAGGAGCATTCCGGCTGTACTTCTTCCAGGACAGGTTTGTTAGTTCTTTTAGCAGTCCATGGCACTTTCAGCATTCTTTGCCAGCACCACAACTCAAAAGCATCAACTCTTCTTCAGTCTTCCTTTTTCAGTGTCCAGCTCTCACATGCATATAAGGTGATTGAAAATACCATGGCTTGTGTCAAGCACACCTTAGTCTTCAGTGAAACATCTTTGCTCTTCAGCACTCGAAAGAGGTCCTTTGCAGCAGATTTGCCCAATGCTATACGATGTCTGATATCTTGACTGCTGCTTCCATTGGTGTTGATTGTAGAATCAAGTAATATGAAGTCTTTGACAACTTCAGTCTTTTCTCCATTTGTCATGATGCTGCTTATTGGTCCCATTGTGAGGATTTTTGTTTTCTTTATATTGAGGTGTAATCCATACTGCAGACTGTAGTCTTCAATTTTCATCAGTAAGTGTTTCAAGTCATCCTTACTTTCAGCAAGCAAAGTTATGTCATCTGCATAATGCAGGTTGTTAATGAGTCTTCCTCCAATCCTGATGCCATGTTCTTCTTCATATAGTCCAGCTTCTTGGATTATCTGTTCAGAATACAGATTGAATAAATATGATGAAAGGATACAACCCTGACACACTACCTTCTTGATTTTAAACAATGCAGTGTCCCCTTGTTCTGTTTGAATAACAGCCTCCTGGTCTATGTACAAGTTCCTCATGAGCACAATTAAGTGTTGTGGAATTCCCATTCTTCTCAATGTTATCCATAATTCGTTATGATCCACAAAATCGAATGCCTTTGCATAGTCAATAAAACACGAGTAAACATCTTTCTGGTATTCTTTGCTTTAAGCCAAGATCTATCTGACAGCAGCAATGATATCCCTCATTCCACGTTCTCTTCTGAATCCAACTTGCATTTCTGGAAGTTCTCTGTCAATATACCGCTTTAATCATTTTTGAATTATCTTCAGTAAGGTTTTACTTGCATGTGATATTAATGATATTGTTTGATAATTTCCACATTCTTTGGGATCACCTTTCTTTGGAATGGGTACAAATATGGATCTCTTCCAGTCAGTTGCCCAGGTAGCTGTCTTCCAAATTTCTTGGCATAGATGAGTGAGTGCCTCCAGCACAGCATCCATTTGTTGAAATGTCTCAATGAGTATCCCGTTAATTCCTGGAGCCTTGTTTTTGCTTCAGTGCAGCTTCAACTTCTTCCTTTAATACCGTTGGTTCTTGATCATATGCCACCTCCTGAAATGGATGAACATCAACAAATTCTTTTTGGTACAGTGACTCCGTGTATTCCTTCCATC